CTTTCCAGATGCATGTAATCGAGGCCCGGACACCTTGAACCAATGGTACCGCCATTGGGAAACATCACCACTGCAATTACTAGACAGACATGGAGCATTCTTCGTCGTCAACGAAGGTCTGTGAGCATCACAGGTCGACCAACGGTGGCCAACACAAACGCCAGCCATACAGAAGAAACCACTCGTCACCGTCCTGCCATTCTGGATGCACTTGAGATCCCTTGTGACTGGGAAGAGTGCCAGGACGTTCAGCATCCACAAACCTTCAGCACTCCATCTGATAGCTACATCCAAAAACACGAAGGACGCACCTACCATGAAGGAGAACAATGTGCCATTACCAAGCTTCTGGTGCATACATTCCATCATAAAGCACCACTACCTTTCCCAGGCAACATCGCGAATCAAAAACGTAACTCCCCAATAACTTTTGAGGCTCGGGGCTACATTTTTTAATGGAAGTGGAAGGACGGCGTGGGTCATAAAGCACCCCAATAACCAAATCGAGGATACACGACCTCAACTTGACAGACATTCCAGATTCTTTGAAGGCTTGGGGCCCCCAGAGGGCCAGAGGCTACCAGGCCTCAATTTGGCAGTGCCAGCCAAAAGAAACAAGTGCAAGAAAAAAATGCCATGCTGGCAGCCAAGCACCCTCGCCTAGTTGGTTGAGCACGTAAGTGGCATTCAGGAGGTAGTCGGGTCAATGCCCCCATTCAGGAGGTGGTGGCGGTTTAAGCAATCAAAAGTGATCAAATTCTTCTCTAGCAACAATGCATAGTCCAACTATTGGTTCCTTACGAAAAATGTATACAACCTCCACAATCCCTCCAAAGGAAAAATGAATGCACGCGTGTTTAACGTACATGCGAGCATGACAGTTCTAAACTGTAGACCTAACCTAAACAAGGCCCGTAATCATTCTCCACTGCCCCACCTTGCACATTCTTCATGCCTGGTTTGTCCCTTCGGTTTAATTACGCAAAACATCTTCAAGGGAGGAGCTCCCCATTCACATTCTCAAATCACTAAAACTTCACTCCCAAGGGTACTGACATTGTCAATCGCCACCCTCCACAACAGCCACAGAGCTGCAAACAGTTTTTGGCCTCGGGGCGCACAGTCTCCCTGTAAGCTAAGCAGGATCACCCTTCCTGTAAATGGTCTCTCTCGGGCTCTTTGTGAGGTTTCCCTGGCCTCAATCAATTGTGAAATCAAAAGCCCACGACTCCACGAGTGTTTCGGCGGAGAAAAAGAAAATAACAACTTCCCTGGCTTGACCTCCGGTAACTGCATGGAGGCGACCCTGGCCTCTGATCGGAACGCACGATTCCCTGGCCCCTGATCGGAACGCGCAATTCCATCATCTATCTGTACATTAGACATCAGCTGCCTGAATCAAGCTACAGCTGGAGACTTGTGTTCAGATGAGAGACTGCTTAAACCACCCGTACTTGGCCCAGCTATCGCAGCCGAGCCTGGAAGTGCCCTGCGCGCCGTTTCCCGCCGAAGCGCCAATTCCATTTTTGTTTTCAGAAAGGCTGGCGGCGCCGGCCTTCTAGGTCCGGCTGCCCGAAGCGCGAACTTCACGTTTACGCTAAGGCCCACGGCCGATATATGGGCCAAGTACTGGTGGTTTAAGCTACAACCGACGCCATGTTCAGACGATCGACAGCTTTCCGCACTACCTGTGCCGAACCAAGTGTTGCAGATTCATCCTGCTCCTGGTTTTCATTTCATAGATGCCACGACATTCGCAACTGCACTTGTTAAAACCTTAACCTGAGCGTGCAGCAATGCCAAGCAATCGGCCAAGCTGCGAACCGGCACTGAGGCCACAACACTCGTATCAAGTTACCGTCCCAGCATTTCGTGACTGCCCCAACGCTGCTCAACTCTCAGATGAGCTCTCCGACTCCAGCAGCTAGCGACCCGTCGAGTGGAACCAATAAGCTTTCACCGTCACGAAACGCAACTGGACACCCCTCCTAAGGTTGTCATACCCCGTTTTATCCCCTTTGTTTCCGAATCCTACAAGTTGACAGAAGGCTTCAGGGACGCATAAAATGGCAGAACAGACTACATAAAGTCAAGTTCCAATCACTTGCAGAAGGGATCCCTAACAATCATACAACCAGCTAAGGACACACACGAACATTGCGAGGACGCCCCCCATAGCAGTCGCCCAATGCTGAAGTTAAATGATGTCCATGCATCCTGAGAGGAGGAGGAAGACTCTGCCGAGTACCTCTCCAGCACCGTGCCAACACCCACCTCATGGCAGATCCACCACTCCCTAACGAGTTACGAAAGCTGGGCCCTGCAAAAGTAGCCTACCAAGCATGGCCTCCCTACTCCACACATACTACGATGCACACATGAACAAAAAGGTGTGACACGCACTGAGACCCAAACATCATTAAAGAGCTAGCGTGGCAATGCATTTCTACACCTGGAGGAAACCATCCGTACCGTCTTCACCCGAATAGAACGCCCGGTCATTATGGCCGTATGCAGACTGAACCATGATAGCAAGGACCGCTGGTTCCCACCAATCAAACGACAATTTCCTACCAGAAGAAATATATAATGCAACGGAAAAGTGTACTAACAGCACAGTAAGGTACTACGCAGACGAACCAACCAGTTACCGGCCAATATGGCTAAACATGTGCCCTCATAGACAGATAATGACTTCACCTCCTCAATGGACTTAATGAATACACAAATGCTAAAGAATCAATACTACCCATCTTTGGGGGCGCTAAGGGAAGAACAGGCGCCGCTAGGGGTTGTATGGAAGAAGAACCAACCCCACTAGATCCCCTGCAGAATGCCAAAATCTTCCAAAGTCAATAGTACTCAATACATATCTTAGGTATCGAGAACACTGCTAGCATTTCTACACCATCACGGCATCGTCTTATCAAGAGCGAACCGGGTTCATTTCTACATTGTCATCTACTTGCTCAGGAGCAAACTACTCATATTTTAAAATCATCATTGCCTGCTGACGAGCAATTACGCACACTTCTACATTTCAATCGGTGCATTGAATTCTATCCGTGCATGATACACTCTTGAGAAAACTCAATGTGTGGATGGCATCACCACCATATATCCATTAAGTTTCTTCTTCTTCTTTGACCAAAATTTCAAACCTGCATCAGCAGATTCATTTTTGGTAGTTTCGCGGATTAAACTAAAAGTTGCAAAAGAACCGCCAGTAGCACTAATAAATAAAGAGCCGCCAAAAACACCAGCTAGAGATCTTGAGCAATGTGTCGACACAGGGACGAAAACAGCACTCGAGGCTGCTGCCTTCACTTATCTAGACCACTCTCTTCCAGTTCAAGCCCCATCACAAGCTGGAAGCTGAAACTTCACAGAGACTTGTCATATATTATTGCCGATAGAATGCCTTCAGGAGCTACTAGCAGCAATTGCACAATGCACTGCTTGCATCCGCAGTAATTTGATCCTTAGTTTTTGCCTGCAGACAGGCACCTGTCCCTGCATAGCCTGGCCTTGTGAAGTGCAGCTAGAAGCATAGCCCGGCATCGTAGGCAGCCCCAAATCAGTGCAGCTAGTAGCATAGCCCGGCATCATAGGCAGCCCCCAATCAGTGCAGCAAGTAGCACCCAGCTCGCCGCCCCGACGCACACACCAGGAATGCAATGTCTTTCATGAATGGTTTGTTGCACACTGTGCACAACAAACCGCAATGCATTGCTACAAACATGAAAGCAATGCCCTCCACTGCTGAGATAGGTCCCACCTGTCCCCAGGCGGTAGTCTACAATGCCATAGCTGAGCATTGACAGTAAATACGAAGAAGAGAAACAGTACCGGACTTGCGGCTAAAAGGTACACAGACATACCGGTCGATAACCTGACTGAGAGAACAATGTCAGGGCTAGCCCGCTCCTTAGAAAGAAAAGAAGACAGGCCAGACTTAGATGGATGATGCGATTACAGCCGCCAATCAATGTCCACCACGTACTCGTTCCTCCGCTACTAAAGACACATCAGATCTGCATTACATGAGCTCCTTCTGGAGGAGATCCCATAACCCTAGCAGAGATACTAATGTCTTGAAAAAGTCGTACCACACGAACTGCATCCAATTCTTTCCTGAAACTACAGACGGCAACATAAAGGATCGTCACTGAAAGAAAAAAAAACAGCGACAGGATTCAAGCGAAGCTCAACTGCCCCTCCCCTCAAAGGGAAATTCATCTCTGGAATTCATCACTTCTCGGTAAAACCAACCTGGTAGTGTTCAGAAAAGCTGCAGATGGGACATCGGCCATGGCAGACAACAGAACAGTTCATCTCTTTTCTCACGCCTGTGCGCCAAATCCACATGGGGAGCTAATCCACCACAACAGAAAAATGCCGGCTGCGACTATTATACACATGGAGGCCGCTAAGCATGTGGCTATACACACACAAGCTGGCAAGCATCTGGCTATACACCTGCAGGACGGTAAGCACCTGGCTATACACATACAGGCGGGCAAGCGCCTGGCTATACACATACAGGCCGACAACGATCTGGCTATACACATGCAGGCGAGTAATCACCTGCCCAAAACTTAGTTCGAATGCGCACAAGTCGCCAAAGCGAGGAGGTCGGAACTTTTGGCGTGAATGCATTGGGCCACACCGATAAGCGAACACACATCACATAGACAAGCAGAAGCCAACAGACGAGTGCTACTGTTGTTTTTCCACTCCAAAATGAAAACATGTCAGTGCGCAATGCGGTCGCTCAACTGGTGTGTCTGTCATCCACTGCACCAGAAAAGAGTTGCAGGCAAAAGGAGGTGAAAAGAGGACCAATGAACAAATAGCTCAGCCATTAAACAACAAGTCTGCATATAAATTTAATTTCCAACAACAAGAGCTAGCATACAATACCAATTAAAAAGCAAATAGCAGCCAGCACTACGTAGGAATCAAGCACAAGAGGGGATAACCGAAAGATAGATTAGACGAGATTTCAACAGCACATGACTTCTTAGAGATGATTCTACCCCCCCCCCCCAACCAAAAAAAAAGCAGATGATTCTCCAATCAGGATGTCCGTTGGCAGTGAGAGCAAGTTGCTCCTCTGAGCACAGGACAAGAAATCCAGCAACTGGGATCCTGCCACACCAGAATCATTACATGAAAGCCAGCAAACCAGCTGCAAAGAGGGTGTTTTCTGCCGCCAAGAGAGGCGTCGTTGCTCCTCAAACCACCACACCCCGAATTCCGGTACCACGTAAAATAAAGGACCAACCAAAGAAAAGCCCACAATCGCACTCTCCTTACCATGGTTAGCTGGCAGTTAACTCTGTACATCGCCAAACCCATTGTAACCAGAGCGGATATGATTTCGCAGCAGCACAGAGACTGCAGAGAAGAAAAGGCTCAGAACATAATCGTGCGCCACTCCCATACTAACTCGTGTGTAATAATTGCATAATAACACCACTTGCTGTCTAGATGACAACAGCGACGACTAGCCGTACCTCTGTCTCTTAAGTACAATCGATTTCACCCGACACTCTGGGAAAACTTCACCAAATGCCCACCTCCAATGCCCAGATAAGTGTCCTCATACCACTCTTGCCATAGGACAAGGTCACAGTGGGCGGTTTCCCCCAACACCCCCTTCAGGAAGGTTAAAGATTTAGCACACCTAGGCATGCTTTGAGAACCATATAGACAGTTACACATATAGCAAATGAGGGCAGTCACACGTGTGCTGCTTCTCAGCTGGATTCCAAGCTATGCTATGAACAGGCGGGAGCAACCCCGATTACCCTCGCCAACAACTCCCCTCAGAGTCCTACTGGGAGGAGGCAATAACCTTCCACGCTCAAACAAGAGCAAGCCACAATGACTTCTAATCGTCTCACCCTTCTCAACCACCTCCTCCTGCCCTTGCCTGCAGTTGTATGAGCATGTTGGCTATAGCAATGCATAGATCAGATCACTGTGTACGCGGACGGACAAACTGGCAAAATCAGCGGAGCTGCCAAGTCATCCTGATGGCAGTACGCCACGCTTGAGAGAGATTACAAGGTCAACTTCGTCACAGTTCAATGCGCCGCGGACCGTTTCCCAAGCAGGAACAGCCCCCCACAAACTCCACTAAGTCCACACTTTCCGTTATTCTTTCTTTCCAGAGCATCATCCTGTAGTGGACTGTTTCCCAAGCAGGAACAGGCCCCCACAAACTCCACTAAGTCCACACTTCCCGTTATTCTTTCTTTCCAGAGCATCATCCTGTAGTGCATCACCGTGTAAGAAGTGCTGCAACGTGAAACAGAAAGCATCTCTCTCTCTCTCTCTCTCTCTCTCTCTCTCTCTCTCTTACACACACAAACACACACACACACACACACACACACCACCACCACAGGACGCGGTATGGACATTTCCCGTCTCAGACAATCTCCACTGCTCTCCTGTTCGCCGCCTGATCCTAGCGCTGATGGGTGCACGGATAGCTCCCCTGGGTTTAACATTCCAGAGCAGACCTCAATAGGGCTCAGATGTACCACGCGACAAAAGTCGCACTATGACTATTTCATTGAGTCGCACTACTATTTCATTGCGAAATTCCAGAAAATTACCAAAAACAACGCCACCCTCACACAACACCCCGTCATACATGGTATTTTGACACCCAGCAGCAGACACATTCTTCCCCATCCCTGAGAGTTCACGTTCCATTCAGTATATACCACGTATGACATCCGAATGCCTCACTCTCTTCTAAACAGATAAGGGGTCTGCCAACCCGGATGCCTCCCCCTCTGCTCATCCTGTCATCGAATCCCAAGGCCCTATGGTTTCCCTACACAGGTGCCCTTCCTCCACGGCTCCACTGCTTCTTCCTCTCTCTCTCTCTCTCTCTCTCTCTCTCTCTCTCTCTCTCTCTCTCTCTCTCTCTCTCCAAAGGCCCTACGGTTTTGCTACACACGTGCCCTTCCTACTTGCCTCTGTCTCTCTCTCTCTCTCTCTCTCTCTCTCTCTCTCTCTCACACACACACACACACACACACACACACACACACACACACACACGCATGCACACGCACAGACAGAGGCTTGTACGTCACAAACAGAGGCCACAGAATCATTTGAATCCATAGATTCCACACACAAATTATATGCACAACAACAAAGTCCGGCTCCGTTCCTTGGTTTACGTAGTGTATCACATCCCCCATCCCTTATCTAATATTATGCACAACCAACTCCTGCGTGTTTCTTTTATTCAGCAGAAAATTCAAGCAGCCAACTTACACTCCTGCAGATGAATGCAGGGCTTCCAGTAACCATCTTCCCAGACGAAACGACGGTGTCGCAAACAGATTCTGCAACTACGAACTATTTAGGTGGGTGCCATAACAAGAGATGACAACACTTCGCTTCACACGTATATGCGTTTCCTCATTTCTCCCTCGGTCACGGACACATCAGCGCACACCATTGTGTCACCAGCAGCAAGAACAACTCCCTGAAGCACACACATGCGACCCCAACACAACGAGTGCAGTTCACACCACAGCGTCAGCTACCAAGGGCAATTTGCTTCCCATATGATCCAAGCAAATATTAGAAACGACATCCGTGTAAGCGAAGGATACATTCCTCATGCATGAATTGATGAGCGAATCACTACAATACCAACAAACCGAGAAACACAAGCGCCCCCAACTCATCCAAAACTACTAATAGTGCAGCCCGCCAACCACCGAAATCCCTACTCTACCCCTTTCTCCCTCCACACCCACCCATCCCTTCCTTGTCAACCCGTCAGCTACCAAGGGCAATTTGCTTCCCATATGATCCAAGAAAATATTAGAAACGACATCCGTGTAAGCGAAGGATACATTCCTCATGCATGAATTGATGAACGAATCACTACAATACCAACAAACCGAGAAACACAAGCGCCCCCAACTCATCCACTACTAATAGTGCAGCCCGCCAACCACCGAAATCCCTACTCTACCCCTTTCTCCCTCCATACCCACCCATCCCTTCCTTGTCAACCTCCCCCTCCCCAACCACGAACCCGTCAACGCACGTACCCCCCGACGATCCACAACCATAAGCTCATGAACATTAAAACTCCAACACACGCCAGTGAACTTTGGAGAACAGCAAGCCCTTCCTTAGACACCCATCCCCCCACCCCCTACGCCCCTATGCCCCCCCCCCCCTCCTTTCCTCTTTCCCCCTCAACCCCCCACCCCCAACACCCCTATGCCCCCCCTTCCCTTTTCGCCCTTCCCCCGCCCCCACCCCCCACAACAGCCTCCGGTCCCATCCAGGCACACCCACCCACCTTCGCTCTCACTTTGCCGCATGCTGGGACTTCCGAAAGCACTTTCAACAACAGCCACAGCAGAAGCAGAAGCCACTCATAAACGCCTGTGTGGAGGGTCGTTTACCTGTCTGATCACAAAGTCCACATCTACTCAGGGCTCATGACACAACTTGATCCCATACAAAACAAGACAGGCGTAGGTCACATATGACACTAACCCTCGTCTGTCACGGGGCAGAAATTTAATTGACATCCACATTCAGCTTCAATCAACAGCTTTTCTCAAAATTCAGAGAAGAAAGCGGGAGAAACAGTAAAGTGAGTCATGCATACCTTTCTTGCCCTTACAGCTAAAAATAGATAAAAGTGTAGTATCTGTTCCGATCAGCTTAAGATCTGATCCTGCGGTACTGTTTTTTTTTAATAGAAAACAAAAAAACACAATGGTGACCTGCGATAGCAAACTGTAAATGCTACAGTACTGCAGAGATCGCCTGCAGACTTCGCTCAACACCGACTTGCAGCAGGTTAGCAGAAACCATCATCTACGACAAGTGGAATTGCACGGTCACGTCGCTTCCCCATAAGCGATAATCACGAATAACATCAAATAAACTTCAGTAAAGACATTATCAGGATTAACAGAGAACGATCGTAACATAGATCTTGAGGTGGATGACCAAGATACATTCAGATCTGCTGCAAAATCCAGTACACCCCATGTTTAATAATCCTCATTGGGAGTTCGATCTCTTTTCTAGCAATCGGTGCAAGAAACAATTGCGCCACAATACGCAAAATGCCCGAGGCCAACTGGAGTGACATGCAGGAGAAGTGGCACGTCGAAGGACAATGACAAGCCAGCATAAAACAGGAGAAAGAGAAATATATGAAAAATGAATGAGACTAGTTGAGAATTACAGAAAAAAAAAAGAATTTACACAATGAGATCATGCCAGGACTTAGGACAAACCAGGGCCACTGGCGTACAAATGAGTGCAGGGAGCATAGCGAGTGCATAACTGAGAGATGAAACCAACAACGCACACGAGCAAGTGCCGTTTCCAACACAAAGAACCCGAGGCACAGAAATAGAGCAATAGACCTGTAACTTAACGCAAGCAAGCAAGTGACAACTGCAAGGCCATGGAAAGCCATAAATGAGCGCACAAGCGACGACGGACAGAAACGGCAAGGAGCGGGAATACAGAGAGAGAGAGAGAGAGAGAGAGAGAGAGAGAGAGAGAGAGAGAGGCGGGAGAATCAATGGAGGCGTAGGTGCAGAGAGAAGCTACGATGTTGACAGGTTGTCCTGCAAAACACACTGAGCGAGCAACAGACAACCTCAAGTGAGAGTTGAGTAAAGCTCCGAACAAGCTATGAGAGAGAGAGAGAGAGAGAGAGAGAGAGAGAGAGAGAGAGAGAGAGAGAGAGAGAGAGAGAGAGTTGAGAACTGCAAAAACTCAATATGAGACGAAATGAGTGAACTCCGCACAAGGAACTGATAAGTTAACGGAAAACAGGCAAAAATACATGAGCTCCCAGCTTGATGAACAAATATATACTCTTGCCTATACAAGGACTTGACAAAACTGGACGTGCCATTATGCGCTGAAAAAACAGCATGCCTTGATATGTAACATTTTGGAGGGGTTGAAATGAGGCATAATTTTTGTACATAGAGTACGGACTTCATTCAAGCCCGAACACACAATACTTCTCAAACACACTGCTTAGCTATTCTTTCCCCACTCATATCTCCATTTGTCTCACCACGATTGCAGAGATTCAGTACCTACCCAAAAGAAAAAACGAAACCTTCTCCGAATTTACTCTAGCTTCAACCCAAAAGCGCTCACATGCAGTGGTGCACCAGCAGTGACATGCTTTGGTGCTTGTTTTAAAAGTTTTATGCTTTTTTGCCCACCATTGGCATCTGTTACGGACGCAAATCACGCAACTGATTTAGTTGAACCCAAAGCAGTTACGAGGTGGCCCGCCAGGTTGCTGTGGGGGAAAAAGTCCACGTTTTAATAGCAATATGTATGTTTATTTCCATTTATCAAATGTTTCTTGTAGGTATGAATCGTCTAATAGAATATTCTCTTAAAATAGAATCATGAATTTTAATTTTGAATTACTTGCAGAAGAATCAAAATATTTGCAAAAAATTACTAAGTTCAAATTAACTGCATTAAATATTAACTCCAAACAAGCACCACTGGTTGCTGTGGTGGGAAAAGCTGGTGCATTTGTCAACCGAACAACCGCCAACCATATTAGTCATCGACTCATCGCTACCAAAAGTTCCCGAGTCCAAAATCCAACGGATGCAAGCACTACCATAAGTCATTCCACTTCGCACACAAACAAGGCCAAAAAAAAAAAAAGGATCAACCCACGTAATCACCTTTGCGCTGTTTTGAAGAAGGTGAACGGTGTTCTGATGGAGGCAGACCCACCTTTGAATCCCCAGTCATATCCCCATCACCATCTGCACTCACGTTCCTCGTTGACGGCATGCTCGCGTTGCTCTCGGTATCACAACTGACAATGGCTGATGTTCCTGCGCACTCCCCCCTGTGCACCTGATTGTTGCTCTCTGGTGTCTCGTGCGACACGATGCCCCCGCTATCGCTGTCAACCAGTGGGTCAGGGGTACGTTCCTCACGTTCGGAGAAAGCGTTGTGCGTGGTGCCAGGGACAGCAGCAGCAGCAGCAACAGCAGCGGTTGGCAGGCTGCTGCTGCTGCTGCTGGCCCCTGCACCGCTGCTGCTAGCTCCTGTACCACTGCTGCCGCTGCCCCCTGGAATGCTGCTGCTGCTGGCCCGTCCACCACTGCCCACACCTGGCACCTCGCCCACCACTGGCACTGCTCGGCAAACTACCTCGTCATTACCACAGACCGTAAGGGTTGGTACAACCCTTCTTGCTGCATTTGTTGTCACAGCTTCGAAGCTAAGACGCCCGTTGTTGCTGCTGGAAGACAACGCACCCCTCGTTCGCGCACTCGTTCCAGAACTGCCACTGCTACTTGCTGCGCCCTCACCACTTGAACCTGCTGATCTCTGGCCTTCGTCTGCCCCCATTCGTTCAAGAGCACGAACCATATTCACACCCATCTCCCTTGCCCGAACACCCAGGTCAGACATTGCCCCATTCCGAACACGCAGCTTCTCCCGAAATCCACGTGTCATCTTTGTCAGATCTCTGCACCTGAAAAAGCCCACAACATTGCACAGCAGCACACATTACAAATGGAGTGAGTTCAGGTGATCTGGCCCATATTGCTGCTTTGCAATCCAACACAAAAACTTCATTCCAACTCCAAATATATGTCCATGACCGCCCAGAGCCCACCCAAATACCAATCGCCTTCATACTAAACTACCTCAGTCCTCATGATTCACCTTCTCGGTCCTAGCTTTCCCATATATATCGTCACAAACAGAACTGCCCGGTAAACCGTAGGCAGAGAGAGAGAAGAGGACAACAAACGAGGGGCTGTGACAAACTGTTTCGTCTGAGTTTCACCGACTCATCAGGAGGCTATATATATATATGCTCCAACTAACTTGCACCCTCTCCGTCACACATAACAGATTATCCCCTGCTCCCACATTCACCGGAACCTGGACGGCAAGTCCATCCGTGTTCACTCCACTTGCTCCTCGCTCCATTTTCCCATACGCCTATCATAGAAGGGATAAATAAGGAAAATCCCTACCTAATCTAGGTTCCAATCACACTCCTTATATCCAACATTGCTATCGCACACCCATACTAATACAGTTCATTGATGCAGAAACCCTGTCAATGGCAGACATTTAGTGACCCCCCCCCCCCATCATCCGCTTCACAAAGCCGATGTAAAACAATCAGCAGCGAACATCACAGGGCTTCGCGCAGAACTGCTACCCAGTGCACCATTATCCTCGATCAACTAGCAAATTGAACACTGTATACTAGGTGCTGCCATGCAAGTCTGAAAATGGAATAACACCACATGATGCAGATCGACCCAATGCATTATTTCGGATAGCAAAAATACCCAGGCACAGCGGAGAATGCTCTGGTCAATGTTTGACCGGCAAACTGTTCAAGCAGATCAAGATTGGAAAAGACTTTTGAGTTCTTTTATGCTACGGAGGATCATATCAAAGGTTGGCCGCCAACACCAAATAATTCCAGATCCTACTGGAGGTCAGATACAGCACATTGGCCTACCAGTCTCAATCATATGTTTCAGATTAGATCGCTAACATGAGACTGTAACACCCGACGCCTCCTCCCGTCCCGCTAACGACCATATTGCAGTTCATCCTGGATTACAACTGATGGCGAGGCTGTTGAGGTTTGGCAGTTCGCATCCCAAGGGTCATGGAAAGAGAGCGGTCCTGAACGTATCACCTACGTCCATGTAACCACCTCACGAAATATATCTTGCGGAAAGAGAAACATGGAGCCCCTGGGGTGAATAGCTGTTGCAGAGAAGAGACCACTAACATGAGGCGGGTGTCCTTCCCATCCCACTAACAACCATGTTGCTCACCCTTGGTTATAACTGGAAAGCAAACATGGACCCCCCCTGGGGGCAGGCAATAGTCCGACTAAGGGTGAGATTGTGGCGATCAGCATTGATTTCTACCATATCTGTCAGCCACAATCTCACAGACGTTCCCACGAACAGTTTGAAAGCCAATCAAATTACTAAATGACTATCGGATTGCTCAAACAGCCCTCCCCCAAACAGAACACAGGTACTAATCAAAACAATGCTTTCAATGTCCGATGTCCCAGAGAGGTACAAACACGCATATCTAGTTTCCAGCGTGGACAAAACCAACAAGCTCATCTCATGATCAGGCCCATAATGCAACGAGTTCCCCCGCATGCAAGGGAAGTTTTCCAGAAAAGCCATCCCCTGTCCATCTCTATGCCAAGAATCGGTATGACACCACCTACCAACTTCCCCTTGTCCAAAAATATTGCACGTGTTCGCAGAGGCTTCACCATACTTCACTATCTAGAGCCAACCCACTGCAGGCAGAAAGGTAACCAACTATTTGAGCCTTGCATAATTCAGAAAAAAAAAGAGAAAAAAAAAAAAAAAAGCATTGCATCTTTCCTTGTGCAGGATACCATGTGCATGGACGAACGGACTCACAGTTCACAAGCGGCACAATAGACGAAACAAACGGCCGACAGAGAGCACTTTCCAGGTCAGGATGAGATATTTTTTAAAGGACGAGGTTAGGAATAAGTGAACCGCTGGTGCACCATGGTTAAGGGCTTGTATGACCTGCTCCCCCTCAGCCATGCTCCTCCTGATCATCTTAACATCATTTCATCATCATCGTCATCACGAGTCATGACCATCATCAAACAGGATAAATTCCAGCGGTAAACTGACCACAAGACATAACTCAGCAAAAAAAGCACAGGCAGCACAGTACACGAAACTGGTAGGCTCATCTTGCTCATCTTCCTGCAGGAACGAGGAGGAGGAGTATCCTGAGTTAACCTTGTGAAGATTGGACAAGATGCCATAACCAGACAACACGGAGGATTCATATCCTCAATCAAACTTGTGAAGATTATACGACGGATACAGCACAATTACATTCACACGACAATGCCATAACCAGACAACAAGAAGTCATGTATACTGAGTTAACCTTGTGAAGGTGATACAAGAGAAGTTTCACTGATACTCTTCCTTCTCACTGCCGAACCTTTGGCATCTTTTGTTGCTAGCTTTGGATCTTCTTTTTTTTCCGTACGACATTTAAGGGAGGGACTGCAATTGACACCTTCCGATGGTATTAAACCTTTATTGTGTGCACAAGTCAGCCTGGCGGCAACAAAGGATGTTCTTCCTAATTCAATCAGCTCCTTAAGCAGCAGCAGCACCTAGGCAGCAGAGTGGCACTTCTTCGAGTTGATTGCATCTATTTACCCAGTGGACGGAGCCATCGCAAAAGTCCCCTTCGTTCCCACCGTTTTCACTGGGCACCACATATGCCGCCGAAAAACAAAGCAAGGCTGCGAGGAACGGCCGAACGCCCGATCAAAATTAGCCCAGGGAACTTAAAGAACATCCAACGAAAAGTGTGCACTTCAAAGTCGGGACGTAGGAACCATCAAGAGGGGTAGCAGGGATTTGCACCCATTCCCCCTTTTCCCTCTCCAAAGCTCTTACGCGCCCCTGGCAATTGCAAACCATGTGAAATGTCAGAAACAACAGAGAGGAGTGCGGAGGCATCCAAAGCGGAGCTGCTCCTCAAACCCCTCAACCTGTGACCTGATAGATGCAACCTCAAAACACATTCTCAAAGCCTGACTTTCGTCCAATCCCAATCTCAACACCACCCTTTCGTTACTTCATCCAAAATTCGTTCATTTGCTAGCCTCTTTTCCAGCGCAGAGACACCAGACTCCCTGCCTACGGGGACCGGCCGTATGATTGCGCGGAAAGAAAAGCCGGCAGGCAGCCAGGCATGCAGGCACAGAGGAGTAGATTGGCAACCCCCATTCCCTC